GGGGAGGAGGAGAGGGGGAGGAGGAGAGGGGGAGGAGGAGATGGGGAGGAGGAGACGGGGAGGAGGAGATGGGGAGGAGGAGATGATGGGGAGGAGGAGACGGGGAGGAGGAGATGGGGAGGAGGAGATGATGGGGAGGAGGAGATGGGGAGGAGGAGACGATGGAGAGGAGGAGATGGGGAGGAGGAGATGATGGGGAGGAGATGATGGGGAGGAGATTATGGGGAGGAGGAGAGGGGGAGGAGGAGATGATGGGGAGGAGGAGATGGGGAGGAGGAGATGATGGGGAGGAGATGATGGGGAGGAGGAGATGGGGAGGAGGAGATGATGGGGAGGAGGAGATGGGGAGGAGGAGATGGGGAGGAGGAGATGATGGGGAGGAGGAGAGGGGAGGAGGAGACGGGGAGGAGGAGAGGGGAGGAGGAGACGGGGAGGAGGAGAGGGGAGGAGGAGATGGGGAGGAGGAGATGGGGAGGAGGAGACGGGGAGGAGGAGATGGGGAGGAGGAGATGATGGGGAGGAGGAGACGGGGAGGAGGAGATGGGGAGGAGGAGATGATGGGGAGGAGGAGATGGGGAGGAGGAGATGATGGGGAGGAGATGATGGGGAGGAGGAGATGGGGAGGAGGAGACGGGGAGGAAGAGATGGGGAGGAGGAGATGGGGAGGAGGAGATGGGGAGGAGGAGACGGGGAGGAGGAGAGGGGGAGGAGGAGATGGGGAGGAGGAGACGGGGAGGAGGAGAGGGGGAGGAGGAGATGGGGAGGAGGAGACGGGGAGGAGGAGATGGGGAGGAGGAGATGGGGAGGAGGAGAGGGGGAGGAGGAGATGGGGAGGAGGAGATGGGGAGGAGGAGATGGGGAGGAGGAGATGGGGAGGAGGAGATTGGGAGGAGGAGAGGGGGAGGAGGAGATGGGGAGGAGGAGATGGGGAGGAGGAGACGGGGAGGAGGAGAGGGGGAGGAGGAGATGGGGAGGAGGAGACGGGGAGGAGGAGAGGGGGAGGAGGAGATGGGGAGGAGGAGACGGGGAGGAGGAGAGGGGGAGGAGGAGATGGGGAGGAGGAGATGGGGAGGAGGAGATGGGGAGGAGGAGAGGGGGAGGAGGAGATGGGGAGGAGGAGAGGGGGAGGAGGAGAGGGGGAGGAGGAGATGGGGAGGAGGAGACGGGGAGGAGGAGATGGGGAGGAGGAGATGGGGAGGAGGAGATGGGGAGGAGATGATGGGGAGGAGGAGAGGGGGAGGAGGAGAGGGGGAGGAGGAGATGGGGAGGAGGAGATGATGGGGAGGAGGAGATGGGGAGGAGGAGATGGGGAGGAGGAGATGGGGAGGAGGAGACGGGGAGGAAGAGACGGGGAGGAGGAGATGATGGGGAGGAGGAGATGGGGAGAAGGAGACGGGGAGGAGGAGACGGGGAGGAGGAGATGGGGAGGAGGAGATGGGGAGGAGGAGATGGGGAGGAGGAGATGGGGAGGAGGAGACGGGGAGGAAGAGAGGGGGAGGAGGAGATGGGGAGGAGGAGATGGGGAGGAGGAGATGGGGAGGAGGAGACGGGGAGGAAGAGAGGGGGAGGAGGAGATGGGGAGGAGGAGACGGGGAGGAGGAGATGGGGAGGAGGAGATGGGGAGGAGGAGATGGGGAGGAGGAGATGGGGAGGAGGAGAGGGGGAGGAGGAGAGGGGGAGGAGGAGATGGGGAGGAGGAGAGGGGGAGGAGGAGATGGGGAGGAGGAGACGGGGAGGAGGAGATGGGGAGGAGGAGATGGGGAGGAGGAGATGGGGAGGAGATGATGGGGAGGAGGAGAGGGGGAGGAGGAGATGGGGAGGAGGAGAGGGGGAGGAGGAGATGGGGAGGAGGAGATGGGGAAGAGGAGATGGGGAGGAGGAGATGGGGAGGAGGAGATGGGGAGGAGGAGAGGGGGAGGAGGAGAGGGGGAGGAGGAGAGGGGGAGGAGGAGATGGGGAGGAGATGATGGGGAGGAGGAGAGGGGGAGGAGGAGATGGGGAGGAGGAGACGGGGAGGAGGAGACGGGGAGGAGGAGATGATGGGGAGGAGGAGATGGGGAGGAGGAGATGGGGAGGAGGAGATGATGGGGAGGAGGAGATGGGGAGGAGGAGATGGGGAGGAGGAGATTGGGAGGAGGAGAGGGGGAGGAGGAGAGGGCTAGGAGGAGAGGGGGAGGAGGAGATGGGGAGGAGATGATGGGGAGGAGGAGAGGGGGAGGAGGAGATGGGGAGGAGGAGACGGGGAAGAGGAGAGGGGGAGGAGGAGATGGGGAGGAGGAGATGGGGAGGAGGAGATGGGGAGGAGGAGAGGGGGAGGAGGATATGGGGAGGAGGAGATGGGGAGGAGGAGAGGGGGAGGAGGAGATGGGGAGGAGGAGATGATGGGGAGGAGGAGAGGGGGATGAGGAGATGGGGAGGAGGAGATGATGGGGAGGAGGAGACGGGGAGGAGGAGATGGGGAGGAGGAGATGATGGGGAGGAGGAGATGGGGAGGATCAACCAAAACTAAGTATGAAATACTTAGTATTTGAGGGGCCAGCAAGAGGGCTCAGCAGGTAAAGGTGCTTAAGGTCAATCCCTAGGACCCACACAGTAAAAAAGAGAAACCAGCTTCCTATGTGTCCTCTGACCTCACCTACATGCCCTGACACGTACATAAACATAAATGAAGAAATAAATAAATGCAATTTTAAAGCTTTAAAAAATGAAAGTGCCAAAGAAACTTATTTCTTTGTATACTAATTTAAAAATAAAATACAGTCAGCCGTAGATGACCAACACAAAACAAACTCAAAGGTATTTTTGTAGGGTTTTTATCTCGTATTGCTTTGAATGGGAATTTTTTTTAACCTTACAAGTCTTTTGTTTATATATTTTATATTATTGTTTCTGATTTTATGTTTTATGGGATCTCTCTCTCTCTCTCTTTCTCTCTCTCTCTCTGTATGTGTGTGTGTGTGCACATGTGTGTGTGTGTGCACATGTGTGTGTGTGTGTGTGTGTGTGTGCGTGCGCGCGCGCGCCTGTGTGTTTCTTGTGCTTTTTCTTTGGTTCTCTTTCTTTTCAGCTTGTTTTGTCCTATTCTGGTTAGTTAGCTTGTTTGTTTGTTTGTTTGTTTGTTTGTTTGTTTGTTTGTTTGTTTTCTAATAAGAGAGAAGCAAAGGGTATAGATTTGGGTGAGTGGGGAGAAGGGGAAGATCTGGGAGGACTTAGGGGAAGGAAAACCATGGTCAGAATATATTACATGGAAAAAATCTATTTTCAATAAAAATCAGAGAGATTTTATCCAGAAACTGAGGGGAGCAACAGAGACCCACAGCCAAACATGAGGAGGAGCCAGGAAAATCCTGCAGAAGAGGGGGAGGAAGGATTGCAGGAGCCAGAGTGTTCAAGGACACCATGAGAACACAACCCACAGAATCCACTAAGCAGGGCTCATAGGGGCTCACGGAGACTGGCATGACAAACCTGACCCCGTATGAGTTCAAGCTAGGTCCTCTGCATGTGCCTTATGGTTGTGTAGCTTGTGTTCTTGGGAGACTCCCAACAGTGGGAGTGGGGGGATGTCTCTGACTATTTTGCCTGCTTTGGGGACCGTTTTCCTCCTACTGGGTTCCCTCATCTGGTCTTGATATGAGAGTTTGTGCCTGGTCTTATTGTAACTTGTTATGCCATGTTTGGTTGATATTCCTGGAAGTCCTGCTCTTTCTATGAAGGGAAACATAGGAGGAGTAGATCTGAGGGAGAGAGGAGGTGGGGAGAAGACTAGGAAGAATTGAGGGAGGGGAAACTGTGGTCAGAACGTAATGTATGAGAGTAGAATAAAAGAAAAAATTAAAATTAAAAAAGGAATACAAAAATCATAATTAGATGTAATAATTCATCATATATGTTTTATTTCCCTACTGAAATTATCATGTTATAAAAATATTCTGCTATACCAGGTATGGTAGTGCATACTCTTAATCCCAGTACTTGGAAGGTAAAGGCAAGTGGATCTATGTGAGTTCAAGGCCAGTCTATTCTACATAGTGAGTTGAAGGGCTTAGAGAGACCCTGTCTCATGTATATGTGTATGTGTTTGCATAATATACACATAATATGTATGTGTATGTATGTATATATATTCTGGCAATATAACACATTACATTAATTTTATAATAACAAATAAGCCTTGGAGAACCCCCCCCAAATAAATAAAACATTTTTAAAGAAAGAAAAAGAAAACCCTAGGACCCAGGACAGCCCTATATTGGCAGGTGCTTAGCAGCTGCAGAGCTATTCGGAGAACCCCCAGACCTCCTGTGTTCATCTCATAAAGCAGAACTCAAGAGATTCCATGAGTCACCCTTGGGAGGTCAGAACAAGGAAGAGAGGAACTCCATAAGAAGCTATCCCACTGGGGAGTGGCTCTCTGTAGGCCTGGAGTGCAGCAACGCAGAAGCAATGTGCATGAACAAACCTACTGAGTAGTTTCTGCATCTCCATGAAAGCTGTGTGCCGTCCCTAAAGTTCGCTTATTGTGTTGAGTGGTTCATGAGTCCTGGACAAGACCACACCTCCTCAATGCCTGGCACACCTGTCACCAAGCCAGTGTGACCCAGGCCAAGGAATCATCTTCAGTGCTTAGCTGTGACATATTTATGGATGATAAATACATAGTCACTGGTTCTGGAGACAAAGAGGCTACAGTGTGTAAAATCATCTACTACAAACACCATATTGTTTTTACATTTACAGTTGAATTTGGTCAAATGTTTTGAATTTGGAGGAATAGTAAAGGCCTAGCTTTAGAGAAGGAGGAGGAAGAGGAAGAAGAGGAGGAGAAGGAGGAGGAGGGAAAGGAGGAGGAGGAGGAGAAGGAAAAGGAGGAGGAGGAGGAGAGGAAGAGGAAGAAGAAAAAGAGGAAGAAGAAGAAGAAGAAGAAGAAGAAGAAGAAGAAGAAGAAGAAGAAGAAGAAGAAGAAGAAGAAGAAGAAGAAGAAGAAGAACCCAGAGAACCCTGTTTCCAAACCTTGACACAGGACTACCATAAGTCTAGGAGGAGGAGATGTACGGTCTATCAACTGTTACCTGTCCACTCACCAAGAACAAAAGCCATGGGGTGGGGTGGAAGAGCCAAAGTGGCTGCCTGCCTCCCCACTCTGGGGCACTTGTCACTCATGTTCAGGCCTTGCCCAATGGACCTGACTTCTCTGTTCCTTGCAGTTCACCTTGCATTGAGTACTAAATAGAGTGGTGATGCCTCCAATGGACTTGTTTCTTGGTTTTGCATCTCCTGAGATTATTTTTGTACTTTTATTAGTTAAACATTTGTATAAATTATATGTATGTTTGGTTTATTAAAATAAAGTCTTTAATATCACTTTAATATCACTTTATTAAAATAAAGCCTTTAATATCACTGTGGTTTTTTTTTTAATGTCTGCCTTGAGCTTACCCAGGTTGTGAACGCTGTCACAACCACTTCAAGTTCATATGTTCAACAGGCCTGTTATGGCTGGAGAACACTGGTCCACTATAGTTATCCACCACCTTATGCTCAAACCAGACAAAATCCAAGCATGGAGTGAGGAGATGACATCAAGTCCCACTGGTAGCTGAGGAGCTATTGGCAATTGATAGCTGCTGGGAAAAGAGTCCATTTTCATTAAGGGGTTGAGGGAGATGGTAAATACAATCTAAGTATATTGTCTGAAATTATCAAAGAATTAATAAAATATTTTTTAGCTAAAGAAATAAAGAAACACAGCCACCAAGCCCTGGGAGTCTTTCAGAACCAGCCATGAACATCTCCTGCTGGGGAATTCAATGTCTACCGACAATGAGCCCCATCTGAGCCAGGGAATCAGGACTCAGCAGGCTGGTACCCAAAACTGCTTCCCTTTTATTTCCTTGGGGGATCCCAATGGCCGATCAGAACACACTGACACTCTTACCCTGTTCCTCTGCAACACTTTGAGTTAAAGGCCATCGAGAAAGGAGCCCTTCAGAGGAGAGCTGGGAAAACAGACCGCAAGGGAAGGTTGATTAGCAGGGGTTCTTCATGTCTGGTGTTCCTCAAAGCCAGTGTCCTGGGCATTTTATTGCAAAACACCTATGCCTGGCATCTGTTTGTTCAGCTCACTATCATTACCCTGCTTTTCCATATAGTTAGACCCTGATCCTAGACTGGAATACTATGGAGATAGACAGATCCACAGATGCCAAAACTCCATGCGTACACCAAATCTCACTGGTAGACACCTGATTTCCACTTCTCCGAAATCCCCTTCACCTATTGGCACCATGCAAGTCCATATTTTAAGGAGTGCAGGTCCAACACTCTTTTTTTTTACTGAGGAGCTACAGAACTCTAACCGGCAGTTCAATAAATTGTATTACACCCCCCTCGCACCGAGTGCCCTACACGCTCTGGCTTTTCCATGTGTAATTGCAAGCTGTTATTAGCCCTGAGCTGTGTCCGTTACTGGCCACACTCTTGCTGAGCGGTCAATTTTTTCCCGTGCCATTTCCTTTGCTCACACCATGCTGACCACGTTGGCCAGAGGCGGCCCAGGGTTTATAGTGCCGCATTGATTTTTCTTTTCTCTCAATACTGACAGAATCATAGATCCAAGGCAAATAAAGAAATGCATTCTGGGGTGATGAAATGTCTTTCATTCAGGCTGGATTGAATCAAAGCCCATCACAGAAATGGAGGGCTCTGAAATGCTAGGGAAGCTCATGCCTCAAATTGCAGAAAAATAAATTTTATGTTTTCCCCATTTCGCTCTGGATTCGTAAATCACCTGGGGACATAGACAGTCGAGCCAATGACCAAAGTTGGGCAACAGCAACAATGTGAACAAAGAGTCACAGTGACCACCTTCATGAATGGGTTTTGCTTGTGATTTGGTATTGATGAATATTCATTTATTAGCTTAAGTAACACCCAGAGTCTCCCATAGCAGTGTCTTTCTATAACAGTGTTGACTGAGACTCTACCTTTGCTAAGCAACACAAGGGCAGTTTCACCCAGATGTGAAATTTAGAGTCATCCCTGTTAGAGGAGCAGCAATGACTGACCAAAAAAACATGGAGGAAATCTTCATTCAAACAAATAACACCATGCTGTGATGTGTAAATATGACCTTTGGTAATTAATTCAGTGATAACTGTACCTTGTTGATAGAGATTAATCCGCATTTGATCTTTAGCACACACAAGAGTGCATTTTCACAGAGACAGTAGGATAGTTAATAAAGATTTCTGATACAGGAAATCAGGAGACCTGGGTTTTCATCCTTGCTCTTCCATTAATCACAAAGCATCATCTTGAGCAGGCTCTGTCTTTCTTGACCTTTCTTTCTTCATTCTGAAAAATGGAAATGGTAACAATGACCATGGGTACTTTTGATGGTTCAGTTGGTTGCTGCATGTCAGTAGCTGGTGTGGAAACTGGGGCTTCTTATGAAATATGAATCACAAATGTGAGATGTGAGATGTGCCATTACCAAGGATGGCACTGAAATACATTGCTAGACAGCACAGCTGCCTGCCCCCTGAAGACTATTACCTAGTGGGCATTCCACATACAGCAATGCTCAAAAGACTACTGCATTATAATTATTATCCTTCACTGTAGCTATGTAGTTTAGAAATGAACCTCTATGCATCTGAGCAATAATAACTTGTGTATGTTTGCATGTGTAAGCAAGTGTATGTATAACTATCTGCAGGAACAGTTTGTACTTAAACAAATCTGTCTACAAAATGACTCACTTCCTATGCGCAATTTTTGAACCATTCAAAACTCAGGTATGTGCTTATTTGTTTTCCATTCTGCCAAATCCCAATCAATAACTCAAAGTAATGGGTCATTAATGTATAATTTATAATGTAAGTTGAGTTCCTGGGTTCCATCCTCAACACAGAGGAGAGAGACACAGAGAAGGAAGATAGGGTATTTTAGTTAGGGCTTCTGTTGTTGTGATAGAGACCATGGTCAAAAGCAACCTGGAGAGAAGAGGGTTTATTTGGCTTTCATAGGCTGAGTCACAATCCATAGGAGGGAGCCAAGGTAGGAACTCAAGGCCGGAACCTGGAGACATGGACTGAAGCAAAAGCCATGAAGGAAAGCTGCTAACTGCTTGCTCTCCATCGCTCACTCATTCCAAATTCTTATACAGCCCAGGACCACCTGCCCAGGGGTGGCATTGCCACCAATAGTCTTGGTCCCACTGCATTAATTATTAATCAAGAAAATAACCCTCAGACATGCCCAAGGGCAATGTGATGGAAGTATCTCTTCAATGGAGGGTACTTCTTCCCAGATAACCCTAGCTTGTGTTGTTGACAAAAAAAAAAAGACAAAAATGAGGGTCAATGCAAGTTAAAGCCCCAAAGAATATATTAATATTAAAAATAGTTTCTATAACCCATCAAATCCAGGTCCCCCAAACTTGAAAATATGATAAGCACAACTAACAAGCTTGACTTTGGAAAGGCATGTGATGATGCCAAGTAGTGCAGGACACTTTTCATACCTCAGCATCTCTCTGTAATGTCAAAGTTTTGGAGATACCCAGCTTTTCATTCAGCTCTGGTGTCTCTCATATAAACTACACTCATTTGAATGTCAGTCATCAGTACCCCAACCCTCAGGATCTGTTTAAGATCTTCTACCAAAAAAGAGCACAAAGTTCTTTATTTTCCAGTGTAAATGACTACAGCTAAGAACTAGCTGATTGTGGCACACTTGGCCTTAAAGTGCTCAGATGCATCTATAATTGGAGATGTCAAGGCCTTACTTGGAGATCAGGAAAAGCCCCTGTAGTTTTCTGTGCTTCAGGAAGTGTGCGTACAGGAACCCCTGGGGCAGGTAAGGCTCTGGAAATCAGAAGTGCTGGCATCTCTGCCCTGTACCCTCTGAGGACAGAGGGGCAAGTGAGGCTCTTCTTTGCTGTTGATGGATTTTCTCAGATTGTCCCCAAGAAAACTCTGGTTTTTATTTTGTTTTTCAATCTTAAAAAAGGACATCTATGTCTCTCCCTCCAGATGGAATACTTGAAGTTGGTTTCTTGGTTGACTTTTTGTTAATAGTACTTGGTTTATTTGCTATAATATACAGATGGTTAAAAAAAAATAAACTCTATTAACAACATCTGTAAATGTAAAAGATATTTCTAGAATTAAAATCATGGACCAAAGGGTACAGGTTTTCTAACCTTTTAAGTAGAATGTTTTTATTAATTATTTGACAATCTCATTCATATATACAATGCATTTTGACCCTATTTACCCCATTTCTTCCCCCTAACTCCTCTAAAATCCACCACTCACCTTCCCATCCCCTCCCAGCTTCATGTCCCACCCCCTTTTTATTGCCCCTTTTATTACTTTTTATTATTTTTATACTCATTTCATTTGTGTTATCCATATACACTCATGGGTATGAAGCCATACCCTTAAAGAAAACTGACTCTGCCCCACCCCAGAAGCGATCAACCACCAATAGCTCCTCCACTTGTGGTTTGAATGGCCCTTCCTGGTTTTCTGCATTTGTGTAGTGAAAAGTCCCCCTTTTGAAAATTCATTTGACTCTCTACATATGTTGTCATCCCAATGACTAAGCCAGAATTATAAGCCTATGTGGTAAGACCGATGAAATGATAATATGGCAGGGCGGTGGTGGCGCACCCCTTTAATCCCAGCACTGGGAGGTAGAGCCAGGTGGATCTCTGTGAGTTCGAGGCCAGCCTGGTCTCCAAAGTGAGTTCCAGGAAAGGCGCAAAGCTACACAGAGAAACCTTGTCTCGAAAAGCCAAAAAAGAAAAAAAATGCTAATATGTATAAAACGTGCCCACTGCTCTTCAGAAAAGAATCTGGCTGATTCATGAATGCTCTTCCTCACACAAAGAACATACATCAAGTTAGCATGCTTCTTAATCCCAGACTCCCCTGTACTTAGATTGCTGATTGATTTAAAGTAGGTATCTACAATCATTTGAGCCAAAAAAAAAAAAAATACTCTGCTCAGTTCTACACTTGGGCCTTGAGGAATGTGCATTCAATAAGCACCTTGTGAGCTTGCATGAGTCAGGGTCTAGCTCATTGCCATCCTGGATGTCTTGGAGAAACAAATACCAAAAAAAAAAAGTTCAAGATTTAGCCAGTAGGGAGGGGCTATTGTCACATGACTGTGACAGAGGCATGCCCAAGGGTATGAGGGTCTCAAATATCTATCCCATCTACGGCGAGAGGCAAAGGCCTGAAAATGCCTCCTTGGCATATCTGAGCTGAGCTGAACTTTTGAGCTCAGGATGAAGAGGCAAAGGGAGTTAAAGCCAATACAGCAAGAGCAGGAAGGACAGTGGGGCCTAAGCATCCAGGGAATGTGTCCCTTCCCTTCAAGACTATTCTTATGTATGCATATCCTAGACGGCCTCTGAGACAGTGGGAAGGAAATTCAAAAACATGACAATATTGCTAGCTGAAGCATCCCTGAGAGGAAAGTGTAAGAGAAAGGGCCACATACCATGTGCCTTCTCCCCAGAGAGACTAGACAAAAACCTATAGTTGCTTCCTCTAACATCATGAAGAGTCCCTCGCTCACAGGTCAGAATCTCAAGGATTCAGATCACCACATGGTTTTGCCCCCCTCCAGAAACTCAGCCTTGCTCAGCATGCTACTGGAATTCTAACAATGGCCAACTGGGCATCTGGAAGAAAGGGCCCATCTAGGGCTCTGAGGATGAACCAGGCTCAGCTTCCACTTACCTCAGCAGCTAGAGAGAGGAATGAAGTGAGGAGAATGAGGCAGAGGGAGATGAAGTTGGCTTTGGGGAGGAGACAAAGGCAGAAGCAGAGTTGGTCTGAAGCCATGGGGACAAAGAAAATTTACCCTGAAAACTCACCCAACAGGCTCTCAGGAGGTGGCCCGACAGCACCTGGTTATCATTCACCTTAATTCAAATCAATTCTGATTTGCTGGGACATCAGCTGTCTGAAGAGATAGGTGACTTCTCCAATATATCCGTGCTTATCTTTCTCACTGGCTAAATTAGTAAATTTAACAAAGATGACAAGAAAAAGAAAAACTTTGGGGATTTGGTGACAGAAGATGTCTGGATAGAATCATAGGCATCAAAGAAGACTGATCAGAATGCTCACTGTGTGTGTGTGTGTGTGTGTGTGTGTGTGTGTGTGTGTGTGTGTGTGTGTCCACAAAAATCATTTCATATCTCTTTAGGAAACTTTCAAGTCATCTAAAGAGTCAGTCTGCCAGACACGTTAGGTATCAGAAAGCAAATTGTTCCTAAAATGAATGAAAGGTCATCATTAATATGATTACTGCAACTAAGTATCTGGAGAAAGATGAACATAAAATTTAAATGCAAAGCAGTATTCTTATAATAGTTCCTTTTAGAAACCTTTAGAGGTAAAATTGCCTAAGTGTTACCCCACATCTGAAGGAGAAATATACCCAGCTTTGGGTAGGTTTGCCACGAATCTTAACAGGCTGGATTCTCTCCCTAGGGAGGTAAGGGAACATTTAAGACAAAAGCATCTGGAGCCTTCATCTGGAATAGAGAATTCCACCAACAAAGTTAAACCTCACAGTATACACAGTATATTCAATGCTGTGTCCCCAGTGCCTGGAACCATGCCTAGCAGGGCAGAGTCACCGTAAGTATCTGCTTAGTAAAGAATGATGAAAGAAAGAAAGAAAGAAAGAAAGAAAGAAAGAAAGAAAGGAAGGAAGGAAGGAAGGAAGGAAGGAAGGAAGGAAGGAAGGAAGGAAGGAAGGGAGAAAGAGGGGAAGGGGAGGGAGGGAGGGAGGGGAGAGGGGAAGGAATGCCTTGTTTCTGATGAACTTGTTCATACCAAACCCTTCTGACACCACATCACTAGCATGACACTCTTGACAGATCCCTCCAGACCCAGTTGGTATCCTCTGCTTACAACCCTCTTCCTGGATTTCCTCCTGGCTGGTTCCTCTTAATCAGGTTTCTGTCAGTTATCACATCCTCAGAGTGGCCCTCCATGACCACTCTGTGTTAGAGGGAAAGGAGATGCCCCACAAGGGAACACCAGATACCTCTGTTACCTTCTTCAGAGTAATTATTACTCTCATAAAATACATTTATATCATGTGTTCCTTTTCAAAGACTACCTTGACAAATACCATAATCTTAATAGCTTGAATATAACACAAGTCTTATCCTATTTTTATAGTTCAGAAGTTTGATGTAACTCTAGCTACAATCAAACCATGGTATCTTTGAGGATCAGTTCCTTTCTGGAGACTCTAGTGAAGACTTCATTTCAGAACCTTTTGTGTCTTCCAGGACCCACTCACAGTCTTTGGCATTT